TGTCCATCATCTGTGCCTGTAAACATTAATCCTTAATCAACATTAATCGATCTCATTATCTACTTGTTCTCGTCCATATCAATGTAAGCCTACTACATCATCGAACACTTACAACCGCATAATCTAGGCTAACAAATTAATTCATCTCGATTAGTCCAAATTATTTAGAAAAGACATTTTGAAGTGAACGAGCAACCAGCTCGAGCAATGATTCAATTAACTGCTTACAGATGTTCGTATTCTGACAAAACTGATCAGAAACTCAACGCCTTGATCAGCCATACCAATCTGATCTCGAATCAACTCATAATCGAACAAGACGAAGAACAAAACCTCAAAAAAATATGTGTGAAGCACGAACAACACTAGAACCTACCATACAAACACTGCATTTGTAGATTAATGACTTGAGACAAGCTCCTTTCTGATCGTGTGCTGCGGATTTCTTCGCCTCTTCCTTCTTCTTCATGTTCTTCGCTTTCGCTTGCAGCTTCATCGGACCACGAGTCATTTTCGCCAACTAATTTATACCGAATACGTTTCAAATAACACAATAATCCACCGGTTTACACCAAAAAATCACTACGGAACAACGTGAACCACCGCAACTGAAAATGTTCCGAATGGAGTGACGCTGGTAATTTACTTAAGGTCAACATACAACTGCATTATGCACTGATCGTGAGCGATTAAAATTTCAATACGAACTGATAAGCAATGATAACTTTGACGTGTCCTTAACAGTCAACCTTACATTAACTTTCCAATGCAAATTCCTCACCATTTTCTATCTACCTTAAACAAACCAAAACCTCAATTGAGAATTCAAGAACATCTGATTGTGAGCATTTCTAACGTTAAACTAATTAAGACTGGAAGCTGTTTTACTCACTCACTATACGTCTCAATATATGCTCATATATCGAAATTCTTCCACAATCACAAATATAAACCTCTGTATGGCCTATAGCTGCCCAAGGTGCAGCCATAAGCCATACAGAGGTTTATGCTTGTTGCACAGTTTACTCCTTCCAAAATGCCATAACTAACCTACCCAAAAGATCCCACAAACCCCCTCAGCAGTTCAAAAGAACAAACTAAGCAGGCAGTTTCATAATACTCACGAAACTGCTTAATCCCTCAGATTTCAAAAGCAATTACAGAACTTCATTTTCCAAACTGCTCACAGAACATCTGACATCTGCTTCTGGCAGCCAGCATAACTA